TGGTGGCTGCCAACGCTGAAAAGGCTTACGCCGTGACGCATTGTTGACTGCTGGCAGGATTTTTGAGCCTACGCTTCAGCTTCCGCCAATGGTGGTTTAAGCAGACTTGCGTAGGATGTTGTGGTGACCAGGAAGCGTGATTTAAACATACGTTAGGAGACTGCTACTCACAAATGGAAGTAGGTAACATCAGTTATCGTGAGATGCGAAGCTTGATAAAGGCGGACTGGACGGAGTTCTGCCTCTTCAAACCGATCATTAACCTAGTTTTCGCTCAAACTCGTCACTGTACTTTTTTATCGCATGCGCCTCTCCTATACACGCGCAATACTCCATCCCGTATTTATATCCTTGTCCAAATTTTCGCATGCTTAACTTTCTTTTTTAAAGAAAACCATCGGACTGATCACCCAGGCTCTGGCTGTTCTTCACCTCTTTGCCTTCGGTCGCCGCCCTGCCGCCCACCCTGTCCCTACAAACGGACCTGTGGAACCTATCAATGTTCCCAAAGGTGTGAAGTGCTGAATTTTTGTTCAATAGCTTCTTATGCGGCCAGTGGGTGGTCCTAGTATTGTCTGCGAAACGCTTTAGTTTCCTAACCCCCAGCTGCCAATGTTGTCTATCCACTGCACAAGTCTGTCCAGGTTTTATTTGGTAGTAGATCAGCAGACTGGGGTATTTTGAGACCGCGAACCAGGTTAGTTCATTCGTAACTACATACCATGCCCACTCTTCTAATAGGTGTAGGTTATCGACTTAGTCAAAGTATGTTACCAGACCGAAAGCTCGCTTCCCTGGTTATATCAACACATTCATGTCGGAAATGTCGGTAACAATGTACCTATCAAACAGCACTATGCTGGCTTTCAGGGAAGTGGGCAACAGTAGCTCCGCAGCTTAAAACATTGCTGTACAATATGTGCCTGGCAATCAGCTTTTTCAACGAATAAGGATAGCTATTTAGCCGGTTAGTATCCACCTGACAATTCGACCGTCGATTTCGCCATTGTCCACCACGCGCTCCATAACGTAGTGATGCAGGAGCGGCGATTTGCGCGTGAATTAGTTTTAAGTGGTAGTAGACTTGCGTTGCATCTATCACATTCTCCCGTTACCCGTCCTAGCTCGGTGCCAAAACAGAGCCAAGAAGACTGGAGGCAATTTTGCATCTCGTTCGTGCCTGTAACCATAATTTCCATTCTATGTATTCCATGTTCTGCTCGGACAACTACTCTAACTATAAATCAGTAGGAAAGATTCAAGGAATTATACTTATTGGCCTCATTCTAAGCGCAGACGACTCGGTCACGTGCTGTAAACTGTGGGATGAACTACCTATTACGCACTTGCGGCACTTTTGCGGTAGTTGTTGCGCATGTTAATTTTACGGTAAGTTTGCCCTCAGGTAAGTTGAGGTAAACGGCCTCGTAACCACCATTTCCTTTTTGTCTTCTGGAATCGCAAGAAACCAGCATTTAATATATGGTTTATCCGCAATACGTTTAACCATAATACAGAATAGGAAAAGACACAGATATAAATCAACAACATTTCTAAATACAATGAAATGAATCACTAAAAATCAGTCATGAAGATTAAGCCAGTAAGCGAACATTATGGTGCCGTAAAGTACCGCATGCGCGTGATATTAGTTCATTCCGTTAACTGTACCATAGGGTTATTCATGACTTCGTCTCGCTTAACCCCAGCCAGCCCTGACTGGCCACGACCCCGAAGACGCCACTGAAAGTGTGAGTGGACGCACCGAAAGCCGACTCGGAGTAAACCTCTGGTCCCTCATGCCGGGTTCTTTCGTCCACCCACAGCAATTAAGGACGATCATTTGGGATGCTAGTAACCTGCACAGAGGCCGGGTGTACTTCATTCCAAATACAAGTCGCGAAGGCAGTGAAGTATGGAAGAGATCGATGCAGACGAAATCTAATGTATTTGACGCCTTTTTGTAGGAAATGGGGCGACAGGGCTAGCAGAGCGCGTACACAAGTGGTGTGACACCATGACGGGATGAATCTAGATATAAGTACCTGTGATAACCATCACAAGGTTGAAGGCTGTCGATATCATCCC